ACTTCTCACCGTGACCAATACTCTGGCCGGTGTCCGTGGCCAGGTGGCGTAGGCGTCCGTGTGGAGTCATCAGCACGCAAAGCAATCCAATACCCTTCCGTGCAGTATACAACTTCGAACCTCAGTGTCGCTGGCTCTTTGAAGTTCGTGGCTCGAGGTTTTCCTGGTTCAATGTTTTGCTCCTCTGGCAAGCAAAAGTGAATGGAAGGCTTGGAACGTGATCCCTTTTCGATCATTCGTCATTCGTTCAGGGCTCTACCAGTCCATCCTTAGCCGAGCTCTAGCCAAGGTTACAGCTGCCCGTTTACAGAAGTGGGCTGAAGGGAATCGCTTGCAGCTTTCGCCCTAATCGACGCTGTATGGACGACAATGTTGTTAGACATGGCCAATTCTCATGAACGAGCTGCTGATCCTGAACGGGGCTCCATGGTCTTTGTTCTGTGGGATATTATCAAGGCGTATCCTTCAACACAGCACTGCTTGGCCTGGAAACTTTTCCACCGTCTAGATGTCCCCAAAGGCATGCTGCGAGTTCTTTCTGGTCTACATGATCCCACCATGAGCCAGCCTTCGTAGAAGGCGCCAGCTGAGTTGTGCTTGGCGAACGAAGTGAGTAGTTAGGGGGTCTGGGGGGGTGGCCCGCAAAAGGTACACCTAAACTCGGCACATGCTGGGGGAGGAAAGTGGACGGGTGAAAGGTTTTTTTGGGGTTGTGTTGGAGGTGATTTTTGAGGGGTGGCGATGCAAGAAATGCAATTTGCATCATTTGCATCACCTGAATGGTAAGGTGTAGTTGGCACCTTGCCAGGTATAGATACCCAGGGTAGCTATAGTGCAGTTTCCAGGTATAGTACTTCAAGTTCCCTTTCCATCAACCGCTCGATAACCTTTACACACGCACAGCAATCCGCAGCTTTGAAGTCTCATTCTTGCATTGAACTTATATAGGTGTGTAAGAGGTATAGCAACGTAGCATCAATTCTGTTGCCAGGTATCCCACTTCAATTTCCCTACCCTGGGTCCGCGCAACTCAGGGTATACCTGGCAAAAGCCTTGTAGCTGCCCTGGGTCCGCGCGCGCGCACCTAAATCACGGGCAGCCGGGAGCCAGCAAGGCGCGCGCGCGAAGGTTATCGAGCGGTTGACGGAAAGGGAACTGGAAGTACTATACCTGGCAACTGAATTGTAGCTACCCTGGGCATCTATACTGGCAAGGTGCCAGCTGAGCAAAAAGGGCGGGGATCGGGGGGGTAGCCTGAGAAAGCACACTCGAAAGTAGGTGGTGTGTAGGGGTGCACGGAAGCAAGGTTTTGGAGGTTCTTTTTTGTGATTTTAAGAAATGCAATTGTCTTCGGTTGGTTGCAGTGCTATACTTGGCAACTGAATTGTAGCTACCCTGGGTATAACGGGCAACTGCCTTGTAGCTGCCCTGCTCTGCAGATGTCCTCGCCTGGACAGTACTGAGCAATTCAGCAGCAATTTCTTCGTAACGGGGAAAGATGAGATCAGGAGTAACTTCGCGGCAGCTTTTGGCCACCGCCCAGTTGACATCATCCTTAATGGTGTACAGAGTCGACATCAAGACAACCTCTTGCAGCTCTGCCACTCGAAGAGTCAACGCCGGCATGTTACCCCCTTTCATGAGTGTTTGTACAATGCATCGAGTGTTGACCTGACCATGTGCGCGCGCCTAAATCACAGGCAGCCAGGAGCCAGCAAGGCGCGCGCGCGCGGGTGGACCCGGGGTAGGGAAATTGAAGTGGGGTGCCTGGCAACAGAATTGTAGCTACCCTGGGTCCGTATAAATGCTATGTTGCTATACCTCTTACACGCCTATATAAGTTCAATGCAAGAATGAGACTTCAAAGCTGTGGATTGCTGTGCATGTGTAAAGGTTTTCGAGCGGTTGACGGAAAGGGAACTTGAAGTACTATACCTGGTAACTGAATTGTAGTTGCCCTGGGTATCTATACCTGCGCCAGCTGAGTAAGAAGGGGGATTCTGGGGGGTGGCCTGAGAAACCACACTCGAAAGTAAAAACGCTGGCTTTCGTTTTGCAGCTTCTCAGGTGCCATTCGTTCAAGACAAGAATACAGTGAAAAATTTGAATTGGCCTCTGGATTTCGGGAGGGTTGCCCCAGCTCTCCCATATGTTACATATGTTTTCTATTTACCACAACTTTGCTATTAGCCGTGTCTTTCACCGAGATGTTGATCCCCAACATGCTGGTCTGCAGTGTACAGTGGACCTGGAGGCGCCCATTCACCTCCAAAAAAGCTTGCTGGACACCCTCACCTCTTGGAACAGCTCTGTTTACAGGCGGTATTGTTTGCTGCTGGCACTACTGGTCTCTTTCGAGTCTCAATCATGGCCGTCATGATCGAGACACATCTGAACGGCTGTCCACTGCTCAACGCATCTGGCAGAAGTTTCACCCTCGACTTCAACGCTTGGGTCTCTCTCCTCAGCAGAAAGGTGCTGTGGTTTCTTGTACTGTCATCAGCAACAACTCAAGCGATATCAATCCTTCGTCAGCCGCATCACTTTTGCTTTGTGCTCCCAACGAAGGTGCACCGTGCAGGAAGATCAGCTTACGTTGGCTGACTTGAGAAAGAAATGTGGATTGGTTCCTGTTCACCATGTGATTGAAAAGCGGCAGTTGCAATATTTGGGGCGCCATGTGGTTGAAAAACGCCAGTTGCAATGTTTGGGACCTTGCTCGGCTCCCAGATGCACGTTTGGAAAAGAAAATATTGTTTGCCACCGTTTGGCCTGAAGGGAAGGAACGAGGCAAAAAGACTGGTCCTACTCTTCGGCAATGCTATTGGCATTTGATCCGTGCTGTCTTGGGCGGTGAGGCTTCTCAGTTGCAATCGATAGCGTGTCGTTGTGATGGCACGGTGTGGCGTCAGAAGTTGGCGGCTGGGGATACAGCCTTTTGAACATTCGGCAGATGGGCTAGCCGCTCGCAATCGCGCCACGGGGGCCATCCAGCAGGATGACGGTACCTATTTGTGTCTTTTGTGGTTCGCTCAGTCCGGAAGTGGCCCAGAGAGCTCCTCCGCCTCCTGAGGTTGATCGCCAACAACGAGTGGTGATTCCTCCAGCTCCTCCAGCTCCTGTTGCTACCTGACTTTCCCCAACCTATCACTCCCTGTTGGCCACGACGATGTCTTGCGGCTTGGATGAAGTACCACAAGAGCCCGCTGTTGTTGAAGAAGGCGAGTGTTATGACCCTGACTGATCTTCCTCCTCCTCTTTATGCTGCTGCGGAACGGGACACTGCCTGTCTGTGGTGTCATCAACAAAGTGCTTCCGGCCATGCGTGTCGTAAGCACATGCGTGGCTGTGCTCGCGTGAACGTTGACAATTGGATCTATCGGGTCCGTTTCTTGCAACGAGATGTTCCTGCTCCTGGGTATCCTTGCCCTCCTCATTGTGGTAATGTGTTTGGCTTGTTGAAATCTCACGGTCGCCATACTGTGACTTGCCAAAAGAGGAGTGGCTTGTGCTCTACCTCTTGACACAAACTTGTGGCTGCATGTTGATCGCCAGCAGTTGTGCATTTGACGCTGCCTCTTCTCTTCAGCCTCTATGTTTGTTGCGTTGGGTCTTCTGTGCCTCTGTCTTTCCTAATGCAACTTCTGCAGTCCAAGCGGCCCAACAGGCTCTTCAAGCAGGAGTCGACCCTCCGGATGCCAAGCACCCCCGGATGCAGGGACCGGCAGGGGCAGCCCACCATGGACAGGGCAACGATCAGCTCCTCACATAGCTTTTGCGCTCACACCTTCTGGAGTCGACCATGGACCTGCCAATTCCAAGAGGATCAGAAATACTTGCTGGATATGCTTACTTTGTGGCGCAACAAGCAGACTCCGGAGCAACGCAGGGCTGGTCAGCAGCTCACGAGTTTGGTACGAGGAAGTCTTTCCTTTACTTTACTGTCTTGGGACGGATTCTTGCTCAAGTGGCCGATGGAAGTGCCGATGGAGATGGCAAAGCTTCTCTCGAGGCTCTTTCTACTCCCTTGTTCAAAGAAGGCCGTCGCAAGTGGAAGATAGGTTCACTTTTCAGCAGTGGCTTCGGAGAGTTCCCGCAAAGAATGGCTCTCTCTCTCTCTCTCTGTCATGCGCTTGTTCGTCGGGGGCGCCTCTCTTGGATCTTAGAACCAGCCCGCCAAGGCCAAGGTCAGTTGACCAAGGAGCTCTGCCAGTGTCTCAAAGCTCGCAACCCATAGACTCAGCGGCTTTGCATGTTCCTTTTGCATTTTGCTCACCATTGGCATGTCAGTCAATCTGTGTGTCTTGGTGCTCTTCTTTTCTCCTTGGCACTGGGTATTCGGGTGGATGGTCAGACAACATGTTCTCCATGGTTACCTCAGTGCTTGCGGCGCGGCTACTGGGAGGGTGCAGAGGGCACCCCCCCACACGAACCGCCAGGGCCACGCTCGCCTTGAGCGGGGCTTGACACCGCCACTTCACCACGCGGCTTTTGCCTGCAGGTGGACAGCTCCACCCGGTGCAACACCCAACTTCCGCAGATTTTTGCTCCAGTTCGGGTATGGCTCTCCGGTTGAACTGACTGGCGGTGCAAGGAGCTCTTGTAGTGTCAGCTGTTACGAAAGCAAGGATGTGACCTGCCTCAAGAGAAAGGGTTGCCCGCACCGGGTGCTATGAACAACCACAATCGGATTGAAACTGCTGAAAAGGAATTCAATTCGATCCATAAAAAAGGAGACCGCGTCTATGTTGATGACGCAAGTGCTACCGTGATTGCTCAAGACTTGGCGGCTCTCAAAAGGGTGACTTGAGTGGACAACAGCTGACATTCGTGTATCTATAGCAGCTACCTACCCACCCAAAATATGGGGTTTGGTTTGGGTCATGTTGCTTGGATTGCAACAAGAAGGTTTCAGATCGCATCGTTTTTGTTTACAGATCTTGTTTCAACTGGCCCAACCACACTCTAATCCTGGGATGGTCCGACATTCCCTACCCGAGGTGGCCGAACTCGGAGCAAATCCAAGAGTGGCATGGCAGATGGTCGAGCACGGTTGTGGTGCACGCTTCTGTGACGGGTACTAAATACAAAATTTGCATAAACACTGAACATTGTTTGTTGCACAGTGTGTCCGGAAAAATATGTCATACAATGCAACATTTAGGGGACAATCTCTTGGCTCCAATATCTGAGGGATAATACCGTACGATTGACGGGAATAGATTTGGAAGTGGGGGTGCTAACCATTGAAAATTACTTAGACTTATACTTATACTACACTGTTTTACCCAGCTGTCGTTAATAAATTTCATGTTTTAACATACATCCCCCAAAAGGAGGAACCATTTGGCTGAGTTGGTGGCCTGGGTTTTCATTTGAGCTGTAGAGTTTTCCACGGGTTTTCCCATGACCGACGAGTCCATATCGAAAATTCACAATTGACACAGCACCCCCACTGTGCAAGCTATAAGACAACTTTCGGGACGGGGGGTTTGCTACACGGTCCATCTAGTGCAGAGGACTGGATATACCTAACAGGTACACAGTTTGGACAGGATGTACTTGATGATCTTGATGCAAGACCCATTGAACAATTTGACCTTTGAACAGTTGTGGGTTGCGGAATGTTTTCGGTTGAACAAGACATTGTTGTTGTTGTTGTTGTTTCTGGTGGTGATGGTGGACCTCAATTTACTATACCAGTTGTGCGCAGAACACCCGTACTTGATGTCATGGACGGAAACACCGTTTGTCATCCAAGCGTTGCGTTATTGTCAAGGCATCACCCATGAAGGCCGACTCTTACAACAGAGGGTTTGCTCTTGGTAGCGCTTCAGCCAATTTCACCATCCCAGAATTCTGGTTAATATTATTGCATTTTTTGTGTGGGTGTTTCCAGTGCGACAAGGATCCCACAGAACATGGGATGAAGATTTGTATCGGATTCACCATGCGTTCGGGATGCCAACTGTGTATAGCACAAAAGTGACTCTTCCACTGGAAGGGTACATGTATGTAGCTGGGCAGTCAGACAGGTTTGACCTCTCATGTTTGGCAGGAGAGGTTCTCTTCTCAGATAACATTGACACACAGTATTTACATCTACCTTTGGCCGACTGGTTTGCCCTGCGAAAGCACAGCATGGCACAAGCCTGGCACAAGCCCCAAGATGTCTTCTATATAGATGAATATGGATGTGCAAATCTGTTCCCGGTGTCAGATAGGAAAGAAAAAGACCTCTTGCCTTGTCAGTCGTCAGTGTCCATGTAAACCACCCAGCTTTTGCGACGTAGACTTTGGTCTCCGGTTCTGTAGGGAATTGACATGAGATTCGTGGATGCTAGGTTTCTGACTCTCTTCACCTCTGAAACCCAAACCTACCATCGGATCGAACCTCTGAAACCGTAAATACCAGAGTTTTTGGTTTGATCCTTCTGCTTGGGAATGGATCCCCACCGGAGAATCCCCCGCCGGATCCCCATCTCGGAGAAGCCTTCCTGCCGGGAGATGCCCATCTGGCTTCCCAAAGCTGATTACTCCGTTGATTGTTCATGGTTCCTTGGTCACGGCTCCAATCTCATTCAAGAATTTCCTCATCAAGCTAGAGGGCCACAACATTCTATGATTACACAAGCACTGCACTCCCGTTGTTGGCTACCAAGTGTTCACGACCCTTAGCAGCTTGCAGGGTGGGACGTGGCAAACAGTTTCTTGGGTCGAAGGTCTTGTTCCTCCTCGTGGAGGGTAGCTCGTCCCGCGCCAGGTGGTCGTGGTCGAAGCAAGTCTAGTGGTCGTGGCATGGCAGAAGGGTCTCACCAGGTCATCAGTTCCCGATCATCGTGGGATCCAGTGATATGTGTTTTCATGAAAGAAGAGGCTTGCAAACCGCAGGCCATGACACCCACAAAAAATACTACGAATGGAAGTTGCAGGATTCACCCCTTGGTCCCTTGGTTGCACAGAAAACAAGGCATGTGGCAACATGTTGGTGTTCAATACTCAAGTGCCCATGCAGAAAGATACAATCCAAGGCAAAATTCGATGAACATAAGGTATCCTTGACCAGAAGTACCACAAGTCCAAATAGTCTATAGTTTGGAATTGATAGACTGGGAAGGACGCGTTTGGCTCGATGGGTCGAGTTTGCCATCTTTGAGTGGCCAAAGTCTTGTGCTCCTTCGATGTTTTGTGGTTTATGAGATTGGAGTAGTGACGGCGTGTGACGGCGTTGGTATGAGGATTCGGGAGAACGAAAAATGAAGAGTTCAAGTACGGAGAAGCCTTCGAAGGCTTCAACAGTTGTTCTGGAAAGCGAGACTGCTGGTGTTCGCGCCATTCATTTGACATGAGACCTAAATAAAGTCAAACGATCTTTTGTCGGTTGTCCAGCAGACACTAACCTTGAACACCGGGTCGGTCTGTCGGTGCGGAGGGACCCACGTGTGGTGCCTGCGACGCATTTTTTCCGCAACGGAAGATACAGCAGTCTTCATATCCCCAACATCTTGCGCCCATGTGTGAGGACTACCATCAACTAAGAATTTGGATGGCGGATTTAGAGCGGATGACTACCATCAATTTGAGACAGTGGGTTCTACTGAGTCTTACTGTGTATACGTCCAAGCCCACGCCAGAGAAGTGAAAGCAATCCGTCGGTTCGTTTGACGTTGACTTTCATCCGTAGGATTGGCGATCCAGACGAGAAACAAAGCAAAATCTATAAGAGAGTGTATAACTTTAAGGCAGTACGTGTTGTCTAAAACACCTCAAACATGCTGGGGAGTGTGCTTGGATGATGGTGCATATGGCCATGCAAGTTTAAGAGCTGAATGTTTGGTTATGGTGGTTTTCAATGTTTACATGTTTAAACATGTCTCCACCATGTGTTACACCGGTCTTGGGATCCTTGAAGGGTCTTGATGACCGAAGACCCCCAACTCGGACGTGGGCGGAGAGGCGCCAAACTCTGGCGGATTAAGTGGACGGGTCACCACCCTGGACCGATGGAGTCTGGGTCCTATCAATAGTTGTTCTGTTATCAAAGTTGGTAGGTTAGCGATATGATGTAGCAGCATTTGGCGAAGTTGTAGGATCCACCTCTCCACTTAGCACACAGAACGTATAGGGTGTGCATCCCAAAGACTAGCTTTCAATAGACCTGTCAGTAACAATTCCAAAGTAAAAGCGTTCAGTCATTTTCTGAATATGGATGCAAAGATTCCTGTAGATCCGCCAACTGCAGCATTTGCCAGCATTGCCTTGGCAGGATAGACCTCTTGTTCCACAATTCATCCTCTAAGTACATCTAATTACTTCTACTTCTTTGTTTGAAATCGATCCCAAGTACCTAAGTTTGGAGAGTGCATCGGGGTTCATATCATCCAAGTATTGTCAGCTTTTCCACCGATCTGGTCAATCCATACGGATTATGAAGCTGTTGGGCAGGTGTTATTCTCTGTCACCGTTCCAATGACAACCTGTTTGATCAATGAATAGCATTCCGGCCCCAAGGCGGAGGAGCCCGAAGCAAATCCAAGAGTGGCATGGCGGCAGATGGACTGATGGTGCAAACATGCTGCTAGTAACAAGCTGGATCGGTTTGGATCAACGTCACGATATGGGTTTCAAGTGTATACAGTAGTGAATCCAAGATCAAAAGTATCTCCATTACACTTTCATTGTATAAATAGAATCATAAAAATCTGAATCATGTTCTATCTATTTGCGGACCTCTACTACCTCTACAGGCCAATACAGGGGACGGTCCGGATGAAGCCGCCCGGCTTGCGATTCGTGCCGCCTTTGATGTCTTCGCGATTCCTGCTCGAATACTCCTTTCTCCATATGATTCTTCATAATCGCTGTTACTGAAGATTGAAGCCCTCTGAGATTGTTGGTCTCCCTATGAGTTGGACTGATTACCAAATTTGCTGGCTGGAAAGATGAGTGGTGAGCAAGAAACATCCGGGCAAAGTCACAGACCCAGTTTTCCCTTGCGCCATCTTGCGCCAGCTCGGCTTCGCAAACTGGAGCACATGGTCAAGCCGGCTTGGGTAATTTACGCAACGCCTGCTGGCGGTGAGGTTTATAGCCATTTTGCAGGAGGTGTGGCTGTTGTTTGACTCAAAACACCTGTTGGTGTGAAGATGTCGTGTTTCATTCGGATGCTTAGTCTCACCGGTACGTGTGAGACTAACCACAAGATGCCACAAGAACTTGAGACTAAACCACGAGAACAAGCATTAAACATCAAACCATAACAAAACACCCTGAAGCAATGTCAATGTTGACGAGGCCTTGGCGACAGACGTCTCACTGGGTCACGCGAGTAGGTCCAGCCATTCGTGCAAAGCGGTGGTGGGTCGGACTGTTGGAGCCGCCGAGTCCAGTTCTCTCCAGTTCTACATGCCTGTAAGCGCCAACTGGTTTAGAAGGCAAACCAGGTCGGCAATGTTTACAAATTGGTTTGGGCTAGGCCGAAATAAGATCCAAAAAAGATAATTCCATAGTTAACGTCAAGGCCTAAGGAAATTTGGGATGATGATAACATCAGGTGCTTAGTGGTTTCGCACTTTCATTTTTCATCACAGAGTGCTTTACTGGATCGACAGCGGCACCTGAGGTCACCGCAAAGGCAGCCGGAGCAGGAGGCCAGAACTGGCATGCGAGCTTTTAATGAAGAAGTGGTCAAGCAAGCAAACTATCGACGACATGTTTCATAACCTTAGCCGAGGCAATGTGGGAAACAGAAAGTGTCGCGACGTTTTCTGTGAGCGTTCTGTTGGGTTTGAACATGGCGAAGCTCATAAAGCCGAACTGGTGAGCAACCTTGGATGTCGAGTTGGGGTCCAAATGCAGGTCCAAAAGAAACGTTATTTTCTTCTTTCAAGGCCCGTGAGGGAGGTAAGCAGAGAGAGAAAGTGCAGGAAAGATAGGAGAGTTCCGGAGGAAAATGCAGGAAAGTATTGGGAGGAGATTGGGTAGATCTCCTACTTTTCACGGGCAGGTCATTCCATCACATCAACTGCTCGATTCCACATGAACTGCGATGTGATGCGCCCCGAACCTATTTGATTTGGTTGCAGATACCCATCATGTCCTGTCCATGTCTGGGTGGACTGGCATGTATGTTGATCGTCTCTCAATTAGACCATGCGAAAGTGGATCCAGGTCTTGTTGTGTTCCTTGCCGCCGAAGTGAAGAGGGGGTGGCCGGCGGCTGGATAAGCAAAACACAGTCACCATGTTTGGGTGATTCTCCAAACGCATGCGTATATAGCAAGTAAGTGTCACTGATGATTGGTTGTGCTTTTCAAGGCCGCATGCCTCCAGAAGATGAGGAGCCACACAGAGGCTGCACTTCGATAAGTAAGCATAGTCGACAAAGATCTTAGTACACTTGGTCCTCAGAGTCAAAAACACCCCACCCAGACATCTTAATGGGCCAAATGTGAACGAGAAGCATCCGTCCTTAGCACCAGACCATCCGCCCTTCCGACTCGACTGTGCTCCCCGTCCGACGCGCAGGCGGAGCCGCAGCGGCCGGAGGCGTGGAGAGCCCAAAGGGCGGGACGGGTGGAGAGGCCGGACGCGGGGTCAATAGAAATGGATAGAAACGCATTGCAAAGCGAAGGGCTTACTGCTATCTGTTGAATGTCAATTGGGATGGTGTGGGAATGTGTGGGATGGTATTGGGAGGCATCTAGATCAAAAGACAAATAAGAATAGGATCAATAAAAATATACTCTACTTCGAGTGATCCCCACCATGACATTTCAATATAATGTTTTTTTTTGGTGGAATGTATTGAAACATATGTCAGCATTAGTTCTGGCATATCTTCTGACATTCCATCTCTTCTGCCATCCTTTCTGGCATATCTTCTGACACTTCCGGCATATCGTTTGACACTCCTTCTGACATTCTATCTGGCATATCTTCTGCATATGAGGCAACCTCAAAATTATCATCAATTACTTTAGTAAGGGACGTTTCATCTCTGTGTTGCTTTTGTGATTTTCCTTGAAAAACGATAGGGGACTGATAAAAAACGATACCCCTATGTATACATACATGACGGTCTCTAACAGAACAACGCCAGTCTAGTACACGTCTTCAGCATGTGTGTTCATTGTGTGGCGAAGCTTTTTTGAGCTTAAAGGGGGGGGTGACGCACGCCATGTGGCGGGTTGAGCAGCGTGAGCTGATCAGCAGTGATCGCAAGTACTGCTTCTTGCCTGCAGACATTGAAATTCTTTGGATGCTTTGACAGAACCATCATGAGACAATGAAAAAGCCATCATTAAACAAGTACCGAGAACGGACTTAGCAACCATGGCTGTCAGCTATCCGATGAAACAAACTCCTTTTTGACCCCAGGGGTCTACATTAAGACAGATGAGAAGGGCAAGACCAAGCAATACAAAAGTAAGAAGCAGGCCAAAGAGCATGGCTTTTCAGAGGAAACTCGGCTCAACTCTGTTTTCCTATCTTTGAGCATCTTTCTGTTGGCTCGGCCCATATGTAGACTTCGTCCAGCGCTTTCTCCACTGAAGGATGCTGTGACGCCGAAGCCTGAGAGCATTGTGGGCAATGCGTGTGGGTCAGACACTGTGGGCAAAGCAGAAGACCTTTTGAAGATGGGGCAGGGGAACGGTGATCAGCAGCTTTCTAGCTTTGGTCAGTCAGGCAAGGTCCGAAAAAATTGTCGTGTCATTCCAGAGATTATTGTTGGACACCCCTTACTTTTTGCATTCCAGAGGCTATACTGGCTGCCTAGAGACACCCATCACCTGACTTCTTTTTCTTTTCATGTGCATGCTGTGCACGTTCGGAAGTGAAACTGAAGGTGACGCAGTACAATCTGACATGAATAAGCCCAAGACAGCTGATGCCAAGCAAGACCTGCGAGCGGAACATGAAAATGAAGGCATGGCTTCTGCTTTGGCAAGCCTGTTGTAGCATTTTTTGAGGGCATTGAACGTTTCTCAAGGTTTTGCCTAATTGATAGAGCCTGTCCTGCACCCCTGTTTGCTTCATGTCCACCTCCCTTCCCTGCAGTTCCCTGCAGGCCCAGCAGCAGATGTCGTGGAAGCGTGTGGAGTGGCAGAGACTGAGATGTTAGACGGAAACGGTGCAGTTGGCAACGCCGGCAAAGTCAGTGAGAGCATTGACATTGTGCCAGAAGTTGTTCCCAGTACACCGGCCAAAAAGCGGCCCCTGGATTCTGCCATTTCCGCAGAGAAAGGCTTACCCCTCAGCCCTGGGACCTTTGAGAAGTTGAAGTTGGCAAGAGCAACACTTGGCTCCAATAAAGGGAACCCAAGTGGACATCTTCATAGCACATCTCACGAGTGTTCCTTCTGTTCCCGCCGCAAGCATAGCTGCGGATGGGGCTACCGTTGGAATATGAAGACCAGAGTGGTCAGTGGGAGCTTGTGTGATTCATGCATGCAGGCGTGTCATAAGCTCGGAACGGGCAAGTGCATTGCGGCTTGCAAAGCAACGCCACTGGTTCTAGATGCCATTGTCAAGAAATCTCGAGAGATTTCCACTCTTAAGACCTCTGATGTTTGCTTGTGCGGGGTGTGCGAAGACAAGCCTCCTCCTCGTCGGTTGCGTCAGAAGACGCGCATTCCAGATGTTGACTAGGGTCAGTTGGACCTTGTGAAATCCTGATGGCACAATGTGCCGCCTGCGGGGGAGCTGGCAGCAAACATGTGGACAGGTGAAAAACATTGCCGACGGCCTTGCTCGATCTTATCGTATCGAATGACCAACCTGCCATAGAACCCCATAATATGAGATATCATGGTATAGACAGAGTAATTACTCCTTTTAAACAATAGTTCTTCACTCGGAACTTGCCTATATATATGGTTTACCCTACGGTACTCACTGGTTTGCCCAACGAAGAGTGCTATGCCATGGCTGAGCTAGTATATTGTTGGCTTGCCCAACAGGAGTGCAATGCTATTGCTTACCTAGACTGCGGTAGTGGTTTGCCCAACGAAGAGGGCTATGCCAGTGCAGGGTAGCCCAACGGGAGTGCAGTGCTATTACCTAGACTGCGGTAGTGGTTTGCTCAACGAAGAGGGCTATGCCAGTGCAGGGTAGCCCAACGGGAGTGCAG